GCCAAATCCTTAATTACTATAACTGGATACTGACAAGGATTATTGGAGAAGGGTTGTGATTCAAAGATGGCCCTAAAATAGGGTGAAAAAGTTGATAAAATAACACGATGAGCTCTAATTGTTTGTCCTCCTGAACATATTAGAGTAACATCTGTCATGGATTCAGTTTTAAGGAGTTTACTGAATCCCGAGACAACCTCGTCTGAATGATTAACTCGTCGTAATCGCAATGGTTTTTGAAGACCTCCATTGGCTCCATTTGATGACAACATATTGTGTTATGAAAAGGTTAAATTGTTGATTAAAAGAGATGAAGAAAAATGTTAAACAATGTGTTTAAAAAATTGATCGCAATAATTACAATGGTTAAATCTCATGGACAAAATGAAAGGGTTCAATTTTGTTTGATATTTTCTGGTATAAGGCTCTGGATAATTGTAATTTCATAAAACCAGAGTCAACACACAGTTAATGAGATGTTTGGTGAAGTTACTAAGGGTCGTTGGCCGTAAATTTGTGTGCGTTGACACGCCACTGGTATCAACAACGTTGCTATAATGATAATGCTGGTAAGCAGAAACAGGTTAGCTTAACAACAATTAGTCAACACACAAAATGAAATAATGGATGAGTGATCAAAGTTTTATCGATGCAAAGCCTTTTTTGTTGATTTGACTCTTTGTTTTACAGTAGATATCAATTTTTTTCAAGTCGCTTAATCCTCTCTTCTGGGTCGATTCGTATTGATTTAAGTCCATCTAATTTATTGCAATGATTGGTATGACTCTCTGACAGTTAACACCAATAATGACTGTTGTAATATAATTTCATGAATTTAGAGTTGATATTAAATTGCCAGGTCATTCACATAATTATTGCACTCACAGAAAAATGAGAAAAATTTTTAACAATAAACAATCAAAACAAAACAAAAATAAGGCAACAGTAGACAAGTTAAGCAATGGTTTTAAAACTATAAATATTATTTGTAAATGTTATCCTTTAACATTGAATAATATTATCCATTTATTAACGAGGTAATATTGATTAGAAGTTGAACTTAATAATAGACTTAATTGTGGATAGCAATACATTTGATGAACAATCAAAAAAAGATAAAATTAGTCGAACACAGACGCAATGGTTAACTTGGTTGTTTTGATTTTTTGGTTCTGAAGGAAAGATGTCAAGTTAACATTTGGAAATAACAAAAAAGAATGAGATTGAACGGCAATGGAATGATGACGATGACGATAAAGATGATGAAGAGGATGATGAGGAGGAGGAGGTGGAGAAGGTAAGAAACAGGTAAATGTGAGAGAAAAGTCGGTGAACTATAAGAAAGAGAAGCGATCCTCGACGATATGTCACAGCATCAAGACTCAACACTAGATTCAGATTGAATAACATTTAAACTCTAACTCTTGCCGTTCTACCTGGCTCACTCTGGCCTTTCTCACTCAACACACACACACACTTGATCTTCCTCTCTTCTCTCTCTTCTCTCTCTTTCTCTTTCTATTTCATCGTCACAACCTGATTCTCAGGTTGTGCGGGAGTCACATTTTTCTTAGCCAAAGGAGATTCAACAAGAACCTTGTAAGGCCACAAACATAGAAGAGGAAGAGATCCTTTTTCATCTTTCATCTTTCTCTTCTCTCTCTCTCTCTCTCTCTCTCTCTTCTCTTTTCATTACCTGTTTTAATTTGCCCTCATCATCATCGTTTTCATCCTCTTCTTGTGTCTATTTTTCTTTCTTTTACTCGTTCTTCCTTCTTGTTTATCGCTCAGAGAATAGGTTAGTTACGTTATTTTTTGTTTGCCCAAAATTCACTCAAATCTTTTTCCTCTCCGCTTTTTCATCCTTTTTCACCCTCTCTTCATCTTATCTTCATCATCTTTTTATCACTTCTTTCTCATCTCTTCCTTCTCTCTCTCTCCTCTCTTTGCCTGTGATATTTTCATCCTTCTCATGCATCTGATTGAGGCAAATGACCAAAGACCGGAAAGTTAATCAATGATTACTTTGACTTTGTATCAATTGTGTGAGTTTAGAGTGAAATAACCTCATTGAAATGATAATATCAAGACATTCAGATTATTTTAATTCAGTTTACTCACAAATTAAATATCGGATTGATTACAAATAAAAATTCTTAACTAACATTGCAATCAAATCTTCTATCTGATCATTCCTTTTTCAGTCCAACTTGCATGAAACTCAACATTTAACTGAAAAATTAATTCCGTGATCATTCAACTAGTAGTTTAAAGATTAACTGTCAAAATCGCCGACTTTTCGAAAAATGACAATAAAAAGAGAAACATTTAAACTGATAATACTGCATTCAGCTCATAGTAAATCTTGCTGCCAACGAATAGATCAATGAAACTGCTGCATTGATTGACAATCATGAGTGAATTGCCAGAATTGTACTTCTCGTTTAAATCGCTCATAAATCATTACCAATGTCCCTTCTTAGTTATTATCATTAACTTTTCTCAGTGCAATCACAGTTAAGTTCAACTGGCAGACAAATAATGCTAAAAAGCGGAAATATCTGATTCACTTCAACATTACGATAATAAGAATAGTCTGTTTCATGATAGTTTAATCTTTAAAAGTACTGAATATTTTCACCAAATTATAAAATCAATAAAACGTAATTGTTCAAAATCATGTTATAAATGGAATGAAAATTGAACATTAAAATGCCATCGAAATAATATTGATTAATGCTACTGACATATTTAGTTGGACTCTCTAGAATTCAACTAAAGTTGATCATTTTCATTTATCTTACGGCTTTTAATAAAATAATCTTGCTTATTGAAATTAATGCGATGGAATTGACTTGTTTCAAGTTCAATAGTTCATCAAAAAAAGCTTTATTATTATTGAAACAAATAATCTACAATATTGTTGGATATCCAAAAGATCAACCGTTACAGTCAACAATCGAAGCTTTAAGTGTATTTGAAAAGCGCACCAAATGGTTTCGCTGTCTTAACTATGGATTTGTCCAATCAAAACAAGCAAAGTCATCGGTTAAGTTTGATTATATTAGTTGGGCTATTCGTGTGACTGCTGTTATCAGTATTATTAGAGGATTGGCTTTAGCTTCAACCAACAATTCCTGGTATCATTTAATTTTAGGTGATCCACTGTTTGGTACAAATGTCCTACCTTATGCTTCGTTATTTATAACTATTTGGCTGATCAATATTTACATTATCTTTGAATGGTTCCGTTGGGCTGAAAGATCAGGATCATTATTCATGTTATACGACTTTCATCAATGTCGATTGGACAATTTTAATTCACTTCAAAATGAATTGACTGCTTCTTCATTTGCAACCTTTCGTACTCTCACTCATATCATTAGTATCTTTTTTTCCCGTTTCCTAGTCTGGGGCATTTTCATGATAACCCTTCTGATAAACGGTCCTTTGCTTTCTAATCCTTTCTATTATCATAATTATGTGTTCACAATTACTTCATCTCTATGGTCAATCAGTTTAACATTTCCTATGGTTTACTTGTTTAATTGTATTTCTTGTATCGGTGGTTATTTCATCTTGATATCGCTTCTAATGTTAGTACGCTACAAGTCATTGGTTAAAAAAGGGTCCATTGTTAAAGTGACTGCTTCTAATGCAAATGTTGATATTAGTTATTTGGTTAGTCGAACAATTAGTTTGGGTAATGAAACTGATGCCCTGTCCCGTTCATTAAAGTATCTCATCCTCCATTACATCATGTTCATCTCAATGGTGGGTGATCTGGGTATATTTTTTGGTATAATTGCTCCAACCGAGTCAATACTTATCAGATACATTCTCAGTTCTCTGGGATTTCTTATTCTCGC